CACGGTTAATACCACCGAGTTCAGGCAACTGTCCTCGGCTTAGAGTAGCCCTGTCCGCGGCACGCGGCCTCCCGCCGGCCACCGAGCTCCGGAGGACGCGGGCGGCCCCCACAGGCGTGCAGCTCCTCCCGGGTCCTAGAGCGGCTCGGTGAGGCCCAGCGCTTCCGCTTCCCGTCCCCGCCCCCCGGCGGCCGCCCCCGGGACGTCTGGGTCCGAGCCCCCTCCCCATCTGGCGCGGAGCCCGCATCCCGGGGCCGCCGGCGGCTCGGGCAGCGGAGCCCCGCCGAGGAGCTCGCGAGGACGCCGGGGTGACATAGCCGGAGGCGGCCAGGAGGAGAAGGGGGCGCTGCGGGGCGGAAGGAGCAGCAGGTGCAGGGGCGGCCGGTTGCGCGGGCGGGGGTCACCGGGAGCCGCGCCCCGCACCTCGGACCCGGCCGCTGCCCGGTGCCCGCACTGGCCGGCAGAGGGCAGCGGCAGGGCGCCGCGGGCTGCACATGGCTGTGTGACCGTGGGATTGTGTCTGTCCCCTTGCTCAGGGCGGCGTGCGGGCGATGGAGCGCGCGGTGGAGCCCTGGGGCCCGGATCTCCAGGGCGCAGAGGAGAGGGAGCAGCTGAGAGGCGCCCGCACAGGTGAGGGCCGGGACGGTGCGCCGCCAGGGGCAGGTAAAGGCCGGGTGGGGACTCCGGTGCTGGGCTCTGTCTGGCCGAGACCCAGAAAAATCGGACATGAACTGTGCTTCCAGGGGGAGGGGGAGGGGAGCAAAAACCGAGGTTAAGGAGCCAACGTTTCTGAGCACCTACTCTGCATCAGGCCGTGAGGGGCTTCATCTCAAGGACTCTCCTGGCTCCTCGACAGTCATTACCAGCCTCACTGCCTCTGCCCTACTTCAGGCCTCCTTTTATCTCATCCTGACAATTGCAACAGCCTCCCCACATCCCTTTTCTCATCAGTGATGCACTCAGCAGCCACATTGATCCAAGTCCGGATTTAATCCTGTTTCCCTTCTCAAAAGCCTTCCCTAGCTCCCTTCTGCCTACTAATCAAAAGCCTAGTGTTCGATCTAGGCCTTACATGCTTAATCGAATCCCAACATCCCTTTCCAGCTTTATCTTCCATTCCTCTCCGTGGTTTACTCTTTTCCTTTGCTGTGAAAGCTTGGCCCTATCTCCTTATTTCCTTGCTCTCTTGTGACAGCGGTTATTCTGAGCCCACAATTATATTATTTGTGCTTGATCTTCTCTCTCCTACCAACCCTACGCATTTTGAGGGACAGGTGGGCGTCTGGGTCCTCTTAGGTACACGCAAGATGATTGAAGTAATAAATTACAGAGTGGGCTATAGAAATAGCAAATACTAGGTTTTCAAATAGAGACAGTATAATGTGGTTAACACAGGCTTGGGAATCAGACAGACCTGAGTTAGAAACATGGCTTTGCTACTTTCTAACCTTTCTAACCTTGAGTAAGTGACTTAAATTCTCTGAGTCTTCATGTCTATAAAATGGGAGTAGTAATAGTATTATTTCATAGCATTGTTTGCAAGGATTCAGTGATGCCTAGTTCAGTGACTGGCATATATTAAGGGCATGTTATAAGGAAGTTACCATTGTTAATGAGAGGCAGCAATAAGAAGTGTTTCAGAAGTTCAGAGGAGAGGGAGAGCATCCTTGTGACCGCAGATTGTCAAGGAAGCCTTCCTGGGGAAGTTGTTATCAAAGATAGGGGCTGAGCCAAAGAGCAGGGTCTACTACTCCCTTTTCTTTCCCCAGGTATAGGGAGTGAGAATGTGGAGATTTCTCAGCCGGATGAGTTTGAACATACCCCACAGGAGGATGACTTGGGGTTCAAGGAAGAGGAAGATCTGGCCCCAGGTCACGAAGTAGGAAATGCCTCTCTCAAACCTGAAGGCATCCAGACCTGGGATGACTTGTGGGTCCAGAGAGAGGGACCAGGAAAACCTCAGGCTCGGGATAGAGGTCCCCGGCTCCTGGGAGAGCCACGTTGGGGCCAGGCTAGTGATCGGGCTGCCGTGTGTGGTGAGTGTGGCAAGAGTTTTCGGCAGATGTCAGATCTGGTGAAACACCAGCGGACCCATACAGGGGAGAAACCCTACAAGTGTGGGGTCTGCGGCAAGGGCTTTGGGGATAGCTCTGCCCGTATAAAACACCAGCGAACTCATAGTGGTGAGAAGCCCTACAGAGCCCGACCACCAGCCCAAGGCCCCCCAAAGATTTCTCGGTCCAGGATCCCAGCTGGTGAACGCCCCACTATCTGCGGCGAATGTGGCAAGAGCTTCCGGCAGAGTTCTGACCTGGTGAAACACCAGCGGACACACACGGGTGAGAAGCCCTACAAGTGTGGCATCTGTGGCAAGGGCTTTGGTGACAGTTCTGCTCGCATAAAGCACCAGCGGACACACCGGGGGGAGCAGCCTCCCCGGCCCGTGGTGCCCAGACGGCAGCCTTCTCGAGCAGCCACGGCAGCCACACAGGGACCTAAGGCCCAGGACAAGCCATATATCTGCACCGACTGTGGCAAAAGATTTGTGCTCAGCTGCAGCCTTCTGAGCCACCAGCGCAGTCACTTGGGGCCCAAACCTTTTGGCTGTGATGTGTGTGGAAAGGAGTTTGCCCGGGGCTCAGACCTGGTGAAGCACCTGCGGGTGCACACAGGAGAGAAGCCCTACCTATGCCCCGAGTGTGGCAAGGGCTTCGCCGACAGCTCTGCCCGGGTCAAACACCTCCGCACCCACAGTGGGGAGCGGCCTCACGCCTGTCCAGAATGTGACCGTACCTTCAGCCTCAGCTCCACCCTTCTCCGCCACCGCCTCACTCACATGGAGCCCCAGGACTTCAGCTTCCCAGGCTACCCCCTGGCCCCCCTGATCCCCAGCCCACCCCCCAGCTCAAGCCCACCCCCACCTCCTCTTGGCACGAGCCCCCCGCTGACACCTCGAAGCCCTTCACACTCGGGTGATGGGCCTTTTGGCCTGCCTGGCTTGGAGCCAGAGCCTGGGGGCCCACAGGCTGGGGAGCCACCCCCACCATTGGCAGGTGACAAGCCCCACAAGTGCCCTGAGTGTGGCAAGGGCTTCCGCCGAAGCTCGGACCTGGTGAAACACCATCGTGTGCACACAGGGGAAAAACCCTACCTCTGCCCTGAATGCGGCAAGGGTTTTGCTGACAGCTCGGCCCGAGTCAAGCACCTCCGCACTCACCGAGGTGAACGGGCTCGGCCACCACCACCATCCACTCTCCTGAGGCCACATAACCCCCCTGGCCCGGCACCCACAGCCCCCCGACCCCGAGTCCGAGCCCAGCCCTCTGGACCCAGCCAGCCCCATGTGTGTGGCTTCTGTGGGAAGGAATTCCCCCGGAGCTCAGATCTGGTCAAACACAGGCGAACACACACTGGGGAGAAGCCATATAAGTGTGCAGAGTGTGGCAAAGGTTTTGGTGACAGTTCTGCCCGCATCAAGCACCAGCGTGGGCACTTGGTCCTGCGGCCCTTTGGGACAGGGGATGGTCGGGCAAGGCCCCTCAAGGAGGAGCCACCAACAGGACTGGAATGATGGGGTCCAGGGAAGATGGAAGCCCAGGAGACCAAAGGGAGGGTATCTGCTGCTTAAGCAGAGAATAAAGGGCCGGGGAGGTGGTGGGAGGGAGAAGGAGGGGAAGAAATGGGAGAAAGGAGTGAATAGATAGAAATAGAGATTGGAGACAATGACCTTGAAGCTCAGGAAACTGTCCTGGCTGGGCTCAGTCAGGACCTTGACTATGGTCTATACCCCCAGCTTCTAGAACACTGCCTTGTATTCTGAATAGCGTAGGCGCTCAGTACTGAATGAATAAACTGGCCTTAGCCTGAGGGCCCTTAAAAAACTAAATTCTGCTGCCTCTTAATCTAAGAATTGATCCCACCCAACCTTGCCCCTAGGAGACCAGCACCCTGGCCAGCACCAAACAGGGTTGGTTTGACCTTATGAGCCACAACAGTGAGACTTCAGGAGTTTTGGGTGGTAGAGAGGCAGGGGCATCTTGAAACCTTCTGATGGGAAGAGTATTGCTGTGTGGATTGCAGTATCCAGGCTCAGGCCACACTGGACATGGTCTTAGCCAGGAAGGGCGCTGTTGGACAGCCCAGACCTATCTGCCCTGGAGAACCCCAACCCGCCCCGACACCTGGACACTGGCAGAATAGACCAGAGACAGCAGAAGGGACAAACAGTCGATGCCAAGCCCAGGTCCTGGTGGACGTCAGCAGACAAACTGGCTGGGAGAAGGGCAGGACTGGAGTGAGGAGAGGCCAGGGAAGCTCCAAGGCAGGACAGCCACATCTCCGTGTATCTCCTCGCCAATAAACTTTCTTGTCTGAAGCTCGGACTCTGCTTGTGTATGTGTGCGGGGACCGGGGGGAAGCGGGGAAGGTGTCAAAGCCTCACCACAGGTGAAGCCATGCGCAAACTTGTGAGGGTCCCTTGCCCTCTTCGAGCCCGTCAGATAAAGAAGTTGGAACAGTCAGCCGCTTTCCAGCTGTGACATCTGGTTGGAAAAACGGCCACCAGGTCTGTCAGCTGATGCCCTAGACCTGAGTTCTGGCTGCCCACAGGCGCCACCTACGCCACAACGTCGAGCGCGACCCCTAAAAGGAAAAACACGCGGCGCCACGGGGGTGGGGGTGGGGCGTAGGTCGGCGAGCGCCGTTGCTATGGCGACAGGTGGGGGAGAAAGGTGGCCGGCTGTCTAGTAAGGCGCGGAGGTCCCCGACACTGAGGCTCTGCCTACTGGGAAACCCCGCCTCCCTGAGACCCTTTTTAATTTGTCGAGAAACAGGTCATTTGACTGCATAGTCCAAAGGGAGGGCAAAGGGGACGCCTCTTTATCCCCTGGAAAAAGCAACCATATTTTCCCAGCGACCCATGCGTCATTAGGAGCAAGACTCCAATTCCTAGCTTTTTCCGAGGAGGGCGCCAGTAGGGAGGAAGGGAAGGAGGAACTGACCTGATTGGCCAGGGACAAAAAAGACGAGGGCAGTTCACCCATCTAAGAAATGAAGTACAAGGCCGCTTTGCAACTTCGCCGGTTGGGCGTCTCCGCTAGTCTCGGTGGGGGAATGGTCCCTGGATAGAGGCTCTCGCGAGATCTTAACCATCGGCCGGGCTTCCCTAGAAACCAATGAAAGCTGGCTTCGGCGCCCTTCCTCCCTATCTTCCCACCTCTGCCAAGTTGTGATACACGTTCGAAATGTTGCGTTCAGGCCCGGGGTTCTTGGCGGCTTCGGTCCTTAGGTGCACACACGCCCATAGGCCTGAATGGAGGCCTTTGGGGGGCTTTTGGAAGATCGCCCCTGCTGGTTTCCGTGTTTCCCCTCCTTACCAGCCGGCCTCCAAGCCCGCCTGCAGTGACCTTTGTAAAATTACATCTGTTTGTGTCGCTACCTATTAAAAACCCTACCGTAGCTCCATATGTCTCCTCCGGAAAACGTAGCTCCTTGGCATTCAGGTTGGCATCCAAGGTCTTCCATTTGTGTGGTTTCAGCCCTGTGCTTCTTAAACATTGCTTCGTTTACTTGGAATGCTCATTCCTCCCCTCCCCCCACCCCCGACTTGCTAACCTCTCCGAGTCAGAACACTTCAAGCATTACTTTCTCCCAGATGCCTTCCCTGAACCTCCAGCCTGAGTTAAAATCTACTTCTTCTGAGCACTTGAAACATGGAGAACTTCTTGAGGATGATTAGTCACTCAACAGCATTACCAGTTGTGGGCTGGGTATGGGGGATAGGACTATGAATAAAACAAAGTCTCTGCCCTCAGTTTCTATGCAGAAGACAGACGTTGGACAAATAATTACAAGTGTAGGAAGGACTATGCAGGAAGCATACCTACAGAAGAGAATCCTACCTGATTCAAAGGCCTCTCCAAAGAAATGGCAATTATGTTTAGACCTAAGGACTGAGTAAGCTAAGAAAGGAGGAGCGAGGGATGGTACAGGAGCTAGAGTCTTCTAGGCAGAGAGAAGAGAATGCTCCCAAGTCCTTGGGCATCAAGAACTGAAGTAGAGTTCTAGTGAGTCTGAAAGCAAACAGTGAAATGCAGAGTAATGAGTTGTATGATAAAGACTTTTCCAGATTCAGTTTTCTACCTCCCAGTCCCAGCCTGGCACACAATAGGCCTCACTAAATACTTTGGTGAGCAGTGTGTCCTTGGAACATGATGTGCTCTTCACAAGAGTTTACAGTCCCACAAGCTGCTACCTCCTTGTCAATATGGCAAGCTCCCACTCTTCTTTGAAGGTCCTTCACAGTTATCTCCTCAGAGAGGCCTGCACCCGATAACGACTCACTTCCCAGGGGGTTATTGTTATTCACTCATCTTAACTATCCTGCCAGAACACTTATACACCTACTGCTTTCCCACTGATACATATATATTTATGTTTATTCGTATATATTTATTTATCACAATCTTTTTTGCTAGACCATGAGATTCTCAAGAACAGAAACTAGATCTGAGTTCAGGTATATACTTGTACATGTTTGTAGAGCAAATGGACAGAAGTCCTTTTCCTCCTTTTGCAAACATCTATTCCAAAGCCCTCCCACAGCAGGAGACCCTTCCCGTGGTAACTTTTCACTGTTCCCAGCCGAGTCTCCTCACCGATTGAATCAGGGCAAGCAGGTCTTACCTTTTGCTAGAAGTGGGGTTCCAGACATAACCTGGCCCTTCCCCACCTCTCCTCCATCTCTCATGTTACATTTGCCCTTGCTAACTCACTTGGCTCCAGCCACACAAACCTTCTTTCTGTTCCTTAAATATGTCAAGCTTATTCTCACCTTAGGCCTTTGCAGTTCTGTCTAGAACACTTTTCCTCCAGATTTTCAAATGGCTAATCCTTTCTCATCATTCAAGATTCATCTCAAGTATTATTTCCTGAGATGCCTTCCCTATCCACATGATAGAAGCCCCCAAGGGGCACCCGAGTGGCTCAGTTGGTTAAGCATCCGACTCTTGATTTCGGCTCAGATCATGATCTCAGGGTTATGTATAAGGATCTGGGCTCCATGCTCAGCAGGGAGTCTGCTTGAGATTCTCTCTCTCCCTTTTCCTCAGCCCCTCCTTCCCCTCTCTTGCTCCGTCTCATAAATGAATGAATAAATAAATAAATAAATAAGAAAGAAAGCCCCAAACCATACCCATTCTATTGCATCATCTTGCCCTATTAATTTCATTATCTACAATTATCTTGTTGATTTATGTGTTTACATTTTTTACACTCTTAAAAGTGCCGTAGCAGCCAAGATTTTTGTCTGTTTTGTTCACTACTGCATCTCCAATACCTAGAATGGTGCCAGGCACATAGTAGGGCACACACAACCAAAGTGGAGATCTTGAGTGTGAGTATTCAGGCATTTGCCCCCTTTCCTTGCTCTGAGGAAGAGCAAAAGTTTGACCAGATGTAATCCCAACATCCAAATTATGCCCTGGCCTCTGAAAACTGAGACTCAGCTTTGAGTCCTGGCTCTGCCACCAATTTCCTCATGTAATTTCATTTCGGAAAGATAATTTGGTGCAATAGAAAGAGCATGAGCTTTGGAATCTGCTATTTACCAGCTTTGTGACTTTGAGCAAATTACTTAAGTTCTCTAAGCTTGGTTCATTTGTCAGAGGGAGACAATATCATTGATCCCCACAGGGCTGTTATAAAGAGACACAGGGATCACAAGCACTTGCTGAATGTTATTTCTATTTCCTTTCCGAATCTTAGGTGCCCCATTCATAAAATGGGAGAATTGGCTATCTTTTTCTTTCTAAGATCTATTTTTTAAAGATTTTATTTATTTATTTGACAGAGAGAGACACAGCGAGAGAGGGAACACAAGCAGGGGGGAGTGGGAGAGGGAGAAGCAGGCTTCCCGCTGAGCAGGGAGCCCGATGCGGGGCTCGATCCCAGGAGCCGGGGCTCGATCCCAGGAGCCGGGGCTCGATCCCAGGAGCCGAAGGCAGACGCTTAACGACTGAGCCACCCAGGAGCCCATGGGTATCTTTTTCAAGAGAAGTGGGAAATACAGATCCTTATACAAAATATCCCAATTTTAAAATGTGGGAAATTAAAATGTGTAAAAAGCCTCTATTTCTTAAAACTAATTTTTAAAAGTAAAAATGCCCCGAGGGCCAAACAAGATACTTCTGTGGACTGGATTTGAGCTACTGGATTTGGGCTACTGATTTTCCACGTAGGCTATTGGTTGTCAGGGATGCTACGACAACCCTTACTGTATAACTTGGGCAAATCAGTTTTATCGCCCTCCAGTTCAATTAGCTCATCCGTAAAACGGACCCATCCTTGCGTGGATCAAAGATCAGGTGTGTAAAACGCTTAGCATAACGCTGGCGCACAGTAGGCACAGCACACGGTGAGTGGCAGCGGTAGCTCTGCGGGCTGTCGATTTGGGAAGTGCGCATTCAAAAAGGGCAAGACATCCCAGAGACAAGGAGACTGGGAAGGCGACGCCTGGAAAGGAGAAAAAATGGGAGAGGAAAAAAAGAGGGAAGGGAAGAGGTGAGCAGGCAACAGGGTCCGCCCTCCAGGCGGGGCGCCAGCGAGAGGCCCAGGCCGGGGCGGGAGCGCACGTGGCCTATTTTGGGCGGAGCGGACGCGCCTGGTCGCAGCGGAGACCTCCGAGGCGGCCACAGGAGACGAGCCTTGAAGGTAGGTTACAGCTGGTCTGCGAGGACCTTGGACGCCGGGATGGGGCGGCCCGGGGGTCCCTGGGAGTTGGGGTACAGCCGAAGGCGCCAGATCTGGGCTCGCCACCCTCCCGGGGCAGTTCTGGCCGGACGCCTGGGTCCTCTGGGCCCCTCCCCCTCGGGGGCGGGGTTAGGCGATCTGACCAATGAGCGGCCATTCGCGAGGCCCCGCCCCGCCCCGCCCCCGGAGCCGCGGCCTCGCAGAGTGCCCAACCGCCCGGCGCCCTGGCCAGGGGCCGTGCGAGCTCCGAAGCTGCGACTGGTGAGTGCGCAGCCCCCCAGGGTCTCCGCCCGGATCCCGCCCCCAGCCCGTGCCCTAGAGCTCTGGACCGCTGGCGGGCGCCGGGGAGTGACTCAGCGCGAGGAGGTTGGCGACTTGCTGGGGCTGGAGATTCGAACTGTTCAGGGCCTTGAATGCCGGGATGAGTGCGGAGAACGAGTGTCTTCGGAGCTGGTCCTGGGATCTGGGGCCGGGCTGGGGTGGAGGGAAGAGGGCAGTGCAGGGCGGGGGAAGCCAAGGCTCCTCCGCCTTGCTGGGGTCAGGGCCATGGGGCGGGGAGGCGGGGGGTGGAGGGGGGTGCGAGTCCTGAGCTTTTGACACAACGCCTCGCCCTAGGACCAAGATGCCTGGTGAACAGCAGACAGAGGAGGAGGAAGAGGAAGAGATGCAAGAGGAGATGGTGCTGCTGGTGAAGGGTGAGGAAGATGAGGGTGAGGAGAAGTATGAGGTGGTGAAACTCAAGATCCCCATGGACAACAAGGAGGTACGTGTCCCACACCAGGGGGTTTGGTTACCCTCAAATCTGGTCAGGTCCAGCCTTCCTCAGACAAACCAGCGATCCGGCCCCTACTTTCCTTTGAGTCTTAGACGTAGAATCTCAGGGTTGGTGGCCCATCCTTCTGCCCTACTGCCATCATACAGATGTTAACCTACTGCGCCAGCTGTCTTTGGTTTCCCATGGAGCTTGATGTCTAGCGGGATTGGACTGACAAGTAACCACGCAGCTACAATCCCGTGTGATGGGTGCAGGCACAGGAGGCGTGGAAGCCCGGGGCTGGGAACTGCACGCTTCGGGGTGGGGGGAGGGGTGGTTAGGTAGGCAACAGCAACAGCTGACTCTGAGTAGCATTTGCTATGCACCAGACACTGTTCTAAGTCCTGCAAATCTGGAACGGAGGTAGTATTTCTTCCATTTTACAAGTGAGGAAACTGGACAGTTTGGTGACTGGCCCAAGGCCTTAAAGTTAGTAAAGGGATGACTTAGCTGAGACCAGTGGGGATCTGAGATTTAGAAGGAACGACCGGATTCATTGCTCAGGGAGGTGGGTGGGACACTGGGAGAAGTGAAGGCAGGTGGTTCAGCCATGCTGTAGCCTGGATGAGAGTAAGGTGGTTGGCAGGCTGGGTGGGACCTCTCCTCTGGGTTTTATCCTGAGGATTTTGAAGGTTTAAAGAGAGGACTTTTAAGGAGATCCGAATAGGAGTTAGAATTCCCTATGGGAGATCCTAAGTGCCACCAGGTATGTTTCCACTTCCCAGAACCTTTTAGGACTCTCACCCCCAGCCAGAGGAGCCCTGAGTCCTATCTGGAGGACTTCTGTTGGGCGGGGTTTCTGGGCCCAGGCTCCCTCTGATTTCTTCCTGCAAGGGGCCAGTTCTCTGGGAAAGACAGTTCTGCTGCCCCCTAGTGGGTGTGTTGGGCCCTAGGGGGAGGGGGCTGGCTGCTTTGGCAACCGGTTCCAGTCAAAATAACTGTTTAGTTCCGTTTTCCTCAGGCCTCCTTGGTCTGTCATCCTAGCACAGCCTGCCTCTTCTGGCTCTGTGGATTCCCTGATCTCCGCCTTTGGCCTACAAGTTAAGAACCCAGACTCCCGGGGCGCGTGGCTGGCTCGGTAGAGCATGTGACTCTTGATCTTGTGGTTGTGGGTTTGAGCCCCAGAGTACTTAAAAAAATAAAATCTTAAAACAAAAAAAAAGAACCCAGACTCCAGAGCTTAGGTGGACTTCCAACTCTATCACCTTCCAGCTGTGTGACCTTGGGTAAGTTTCTTAACCTCTTTGTGGCTCAGTTTCCTCTTTGTAAAAGAGAAATCATAACAGCATCTACTTCTTAAGGTTGTGAGGACTAAATGAGTTAGTACTGAAAAGAGTTAGAACTGTGTCTGGTGCATAATAAACACTATGTAAATATTTGCTGCTGATAGTCATTCTTCTCCCTACGGTTCAGGACCTTGCACTTGGACATCCTTCTTGAGATTTTCAACTCCTTTTTATCAAAGAACTTTCTGGGCTGAACCCTGGGGCTGGGAGTGAACAGGGACACCAACCTGGAGGCCTAGACAGAGGACTGAGGGCAGACAACTCAAGGCAATGGGGAAGGCTTCATGGAGGTGACTTTTGACTTGGTGCTTGAGACGCAGTGGTGATCTGGCAAATGGAGGAGAAAGGGCATCCCAGGAGGAGAAACAGCAAACGCAGAGGCTCAGAGGAGATGAGGCCAGAGAAGTCGGGGTAGCCAGAGAGTAAAATGGCATTGGAATCCAGCATAGGAATTTAGAGCCTCAAATCAGAGGAGGGACATGACTGGATTTTCTATTTAGAAGAATCATTGGCTACTATGGGGAGACCAGGCCAGGGAAGGCTGATAGCCTGCTCTAAGGTTGTGACAGCAGTGGAGAAAAGATGGAGAGAAGGGGATATTTGGGAACCCCAACTGGACTGGCTGGAGGTAAGGATGAGGAGGTGGAGAGCGGGCATGTCTAGTCATCAAAGGTATGTAGGGCTAGAGTCTAAATGGTATCACGTAGCAGTGAAAAGCATTGGTTCAAATCCTAATTCTACCATTTACCAGCTTGGCCTCGGCTTTTTCATCGGTAAAGAGGGGTAATGAAAGTTAAGGTCCTCGAATGCCAGCCTGAGAAGTATCATCTGGGTTACTGGGTCTGGGGGAGGAGGTTGGAATTGAGGATTGCACACAGACACCCTTTGAACATTTAGCACTGTGCCCACAGCATAGCTCATTAATTTGCTGTGTGGTCTCCCTGAGACTCAGTTTCTAAAAATGGTGATCTCGAAAGCTCTTTCCAATGCTGACATTCTGTGACTCCTTGCTATCACCCAGTCCCGTGGCCAGTTGTTGTCCAGAATAGACCTGAATTATGCGCATTCGGGCCGGAGTATCCTCTCACTGCCTGTCAAAATCTAGTCTATCTTTAATGAGTAGAAAATATTTTCTCAGAGGGCTCTATACACATCCAATTCTGTCTCTCTTTGTTTAAACCCTTGAGTGGTTTCCTGTTTCCTTCAGGATAAAGTCTCAGCTCCTAAGCCTGGCATTCAAAGCTACTCACCGTCCGACCTCACATCTTGGCTTATCTCTAATCACTCAGTACCCATCCCATGCCCTGACTTCAAACACACCCAACCCTTTCTCATCTCTAAGACTTTGCCCATGTGGTCTTTCCGCCTGTAAAGCCCTCTTCACCTTTTCCACCTGCTTTCTCCAGGAGTAGCTCTTCTCTCTTCTAGATCAGGTTTCTTCACTTTTGACATGCATACAAATCACCTGGTATCTTGTTAAAATGAAGATTTTGATTCTGCAGGTCTGGGGTCGGCCTTGAGATTCTGCATTTCTAGCAAGTTCATAGTGATGCTGATGTTGCTGATCTGTGGACCACAATTCCTGTAGCAAGAGAATAGGGTTGTTATTTTATACTTTGTACCAAAAAAGGGAGATCCTGACTGCTAAAAGAGCCTAGGGGAGGGAGACAAGTTGTGTAGGTGATCTCTCAACTTGCCAATGACAGAGAATTGCATCATGGCTAAGAGAATGGGTATTTTGGACAAGGACGGACTCTCAGTTCCAACCCTGGCTCTGCCATTGATGAGCTGTAGGGCCTTGGGTAATCACTTTACTGCTGAGTCTTATTTCCTTGTTCAAAAATGGAGCAGATAGTACCACAAAAGAAAGGGTTGTGAGAGTTTAAAACAAGAACATGGGTGAAAAGCACTTAGCACAGTTCCCGGCACATAGTGAATCCTCAATGAATGGTAGCTGTTGTTCTTAATTTAGGAAAGTAATGGCTAGGGGGAACAGACATGTTTGCCCTGATTTAAAAAAACAAAACCTAAGCAGGAAGACAAAATCACAAACTTCAAATACTTGGATTTTCCTGTTATGATATTACATTGATTGTATACTCATAGTACCTCTTGTTATAGTACAAATACTGTTCTAATATTTGAGTCTACTAGCTGTAGATTTAAGACGTAGAAGGGCCTTTAATGATCTCCTAGCCTGGTATTTGCCAAGCTTCAGTGACATGTATATTGCCCACCTGTTGTGCTCATTTATTTACTGCTTTTCTTCAGATAGATTCACATCGTTTTGCTAAATAAACCTGCCTTCATCTACACGATATTGATGGAACTGTGGGTTTCATGTGATCTATTGTTTTTCTAATGTCCATGAAAATAAATACATAATGATTATAATAAGATAGTTTTCCTGCATAACACCTAGAGTCCTCTTGCATCTTGTGGTGTGCATGCTTCAAGTCGGGAAATTTTTATCTCACCTAGCCTACCTCGCCTTCCTTGGGACACTGAGGCAGGGGAAGGGAGTGACTTGCCTGGGGTCTTAATGAGCTAGACCCTGGCTCAGTTGGTAGAACATGTGACTCTTGATCTCATGTATTTGAGGGTCACGTGTTTGAGCCTCACGTTGAGATTACTAAAAAAATATATATATATTCTTCCTGGGGCATCCAAGGCCCCTTGTCCTGAAGCTGGAGATACTAAGGCTACTCGTGTGAAGAATTCCTTTCTCATAAGTCAGTGAACCCAGCATAAGGAAGCCCTCAGGCTCGTCAAAGTCATCTTACAGAAGGGTGCCAAAGAAAAATGGGCCAGAAAAATGTAAATATAATGAGAAAAATTCTCTCCACAATGGCTGACGTGTTGAAATAAAGCCAATAGATGTCAAAACCAGGGCAAGATTGGAAAGTGTTACCTTGAATTCATACTGTGCCAAACCTGCTGTGGGGAGTTTCTTGATTTAAAGTATCAAGTTGTATTTTAACCTTGAATCCCCCTTGGAGAGCACCAGGGACTTGGAGTCCAGCCTCTGTCACATCTTGGCTATTCTAGTGTGGGGAAGTAAGTGTAGCCTACTGGGAAAGGGTGAGTGCTCTAGAGTCAGTCCCGACTCCCCCTGGCTTTGTGAATATAATCTCAATGAGCCTCTGTTTTCCCAATTCAAAAGATAACACCCGATTCAAGGGGGTGACATGAAGCTTTAATACGGTAATGTACATAAAATAGCACTGTCAAAGCCTTACAGTGTAATGTTATCACCGTTATCACTATAAATACTGTTTAAAGCAGAGTTCCCATGGCTGGTCACTAATTTCCCAAACTGCCTTGTTTTCCAGTTTCTGAGTTGGTTACCGAAAAGCTGCCTTTTTATAAAGGATCTTGAAGGACTTGAAGTTGCCCTCCTTGCAACTTCAGAAAGAAAAGAGCCTTACTATTCCTTGTCACTCCCCTCTCTTAACAGTTTCCTTATCTATAAAATGAGAATAGTAATAACTACTTTGTGGAGATTGAATGTGGGGAGAAGCTAACACTGTCTTGTCCTTAATATGTGCCAGGTATTTCATTTGGTCTTGAATTAATGTGCCTGTCTGGTTCACGGTAGGTGTTCAATATATCACTTTTGCTAGGATGAGCATTCTCTTTTCTAAGAAGAGAGCAACGTGCCCCCAGTATTCCTCTTCACTCTGCTGTTAGTACAAAATGTTTTCTCTTCCCCTGCCTCTTACAAAACATTTCTTTTCTTTTTTGGATTTTATCTCTAGAGGCTCAGACCTCATGAAACCAGCTCATTTTCAAAATTTTCCATTTCAGGCCTTGCTTCACAACTTAAAAAATGATAGGTGCTTGCTCTGAAAAGTTTATTAAAGACTCTGGACCCGGTCCCGGCCTGGCTTCTAAGACACCATGCCCTCCTGGCTCTCCTGCCTCATTAACTGCTCCTGCTCAGTCTTTGCTGGCTGCCCATCTTGTTGCCTCAGGTTCTCTCTGCCCATTACTGGGGTGATCTCATCCGGACTCAGCTTTAAAAACCATTGATAGGCTGACAGCTTCCCAATTAACATCTCCAAGCATAGGCCTCTTTCTGCTCCAGATGTGTCCAGGAAAACTGCAGATATGCTCCAAAACAAATTTCACTTACCACCTTGCTTCTCCCACTGCCCTCATCTCTGCAGATGGCCACTCTACCTTTGCAGTGGCCGAACTCAAAATCCTTGGAGTCATTTTGACTCCTCTCTTTCATTACACCGCCTATCCAATCTATTATCCAATCGGTTGTCTCAAACTGCAAAATACATCCAGAAGCAGACCACCTTCACTTTCCACCTGTCACCTGGGTCTGAGCCACTTCTCTTCAGAGATGGCGGCAGTACAAGTAGCCTCCTCACTGGGCTCCTGCTTCTGCCCTCTCCCCTCCTTTCTGTTCTCAACTCCAGCAACCCGAGGGTAACTTTTAAAACGAGTCTGATCTGTTCAGATCCCTGCTCCAAACCATCTGACATCTCTATTGCTTCCCCATCTCATTCATATTACTTGGCCCTAAGCTAAGAGATCCCCTCCAAGACCACCCCATCCATCACTCTATCCCTCAAGCATTCTGCTTTAGGCACTTTTTCATGCCATTCCTGGAACTCAACAGGCAAACTCCCCGCAGGGCCTTGCTGGTCCCTCTGTAGCCTGCTCTCTCACCTCCTTTAAGTCTTTGCTCCCGTTATATCAGTAAGATTTCTTAGCAATCCTATTTAAATGTGCAGCACCCACTCCCTGCCCCAATACCAGCACTCGTTATCCATTTTTCCGGAAGCAGTTTTTTTTTTTAATTTAAGGTTGAATCCCCAGTGCCTAAGCAGAGTCCGGCACATTGTACGCGTTCAATAAATATGTCGAATTAACGAATTGCTAGAATGACACTAGGCCTTGTGATACATGCGTTAACATACTATCTCATTTAAAGCGCACAACCGCCCCGAGGCGGGCACCGCCGCTTTTTCTATTTTACAACGGGGAACTGAGAGGCTGCAGCTTGCGGACACCCCGGCCTCCGGCTCCCGCGCCCGGCTGTCAGGGCTGACGTGTCCCCCCTCCCCCTCTCCCCGCAGGTCCCGAGCGAGGCGCCAGCGCCGTCGGCCGACCCGGCGCGCCCACACGCGTGCCCGGACTGCGGCCGCGCCTTCGCGCGCCGCTCCACGCTGGCCAAGCACGCACGCACGCACACGGGCGAGCGGCCCTTCGCGTGCACCGAGTGCGGCCGGCGCTTCTCGCAGAAGTCGGCGCTGACCAAACACGGCCGCACGCACACGGGCGAGCGGCCCTACGAGTGCCCCGAGTGCGACAAGCGCTTCTCGGCCGCCTCGAACCTGCGGCAGCACCGGCGGCGCCACACGGGCGAGAAGCCGTACGCATGCGCGCACTGCGGCCGCCGCTTCGCGCAGAGCTCCAACTACGCGCAGCACCTGCGCGTGCACACGGGCGAGAAGCCGTACGCGTGCCCGGACTGCGGACGCGCCTTCGGCGGCAGCTCGTGCCTGGCGCGCCACCGACGCACGCACACGGGCGAGAGGCCGTACGCATGCGCCGACTGCGGCACGCGCTTCGCGCAGAGTTCGGCGCTGGCCAAGCACCGGCGCGTACACACGGGCGAGAAGCCGCACCGCTGCGCCGTGTGCGGCCGCCGCTTCGGCCACCGCTCCAACCTGGCGGAGCATGCGCGCACGCACACGGGCGAGCGGCCCTACCCTTGCGCGGAGTGCGGCCGGCGCTTCCGTCTCAGTTCGCACTTCATCCGCCACCGTCGCGCGCACATGCGGCGCCGTCTCTATATCTGCGCCGGCTGCGGCCGGGACTTCAAGCTACCCCCTGGCGCCACGGCCGCCACTGCCACCGAGCGCTGCCCAGAGTGCGAGGGCAGCTGAGCCGCCGTTCTCGTCGCCGCGGGGTTGCGAGCGTCCGGCTTGTGGGGGGAGTGGGGGCGGACACGCCGGGACCGCCGACCTGGGGCCGCATTAACCAGGACCTCCCTGGCTCACCACCAGGGGCTGGGAAAGGGTGGGATGGCAGGCCTGGCTGCCTTGGAACTGGGAGGCAGGGAGAATCCCCTCACTGGGAACCCTGGAAACAGTGCCCACTCCCCGCTCACTACAACCCCTTGACCCGTGTTAGTGAATAAAGTATTATATCCTCGCCCCTCCTGTGCCTGTGAGTGAGGCGGCGGGGGGAAGGAGGAAAGTTGGCGTCTTACCCAGGCTTAAGAGACTTGAATTAGGGAGCCAAGTGGGGCAATAGGCCCAAAGGGGTTCCCTGAACTGGCTTTTTATGTGTGGGGGGAGTCCTCATAACTTCAGGTCTGGAAGGGTCCACAAATACAGCATATTCTGGTCAGGCAGCCGCTGCATTGTTCAGTGAGCAGGCATGAACTTCCTTCTAGGAGAGATGGGCTGACTTCATTTCTTAACTTGGATGCCAGCGTATGGTGTCAGGAGGGCACAGGATGAGGAGCAGGACAGGAATTGAAGGCAATTCTTACACCCCAATCTGGACACGTTGAGTGTGAGGTAAACGCAGAGGAGTCAGAGAGGTGACTGGAAATAATAGCTTGGGGATTGCAGGTCTGGAGTGCATGATACCCCTTCTAGAAGAGGGTATCCAAGGAAAGTCTGTGAAAGAACAGCCAGAGCTGGAAAGAAAACAGAAGCGTCCTGTCTGGGAAATCTAAAGGAAAGTGTTTCACGGAGGGAGTGGTCACTCTGTTAGATGCTGTATCTGTAGCTCAGGGAAAGTGGTGAGAGGAGGAGTGGGGGTGAAAGCCATCCTTGAGTGGATGAGAGCATAAATAGGAGAATGAGGAAGCCTAGTGGATGGATGTAGACAACCCATTTTAAGAGGCTTGGCTGTGAAAAGCAAGAGGGAAATGGCTGGAGGTTTGTTGGGTTTGTCTGGTGAGTAGGGAAGAAACTTGATTATGTGTTATATATGCTGGTGGCAGAGCTGATAGAAAGGAAGAGAAGTTGGTTATATAGAAGAGAGGGGAGGTAACTCATCATGGAGAGGACATACGATAAGAGACCAGTAAGGATAAGGTTCCTGCTGTCACTAGTAGGGAGAGGAAAGGTGGGTTTTGGAATACAAAGCTGAAGCAGTTCTAATCGGCAGTGTTCTCCCTGGCAAGTAAGAGGTCACTGGTTAAGAGGGAGTGAGGTCATTAGTAAAAGGAATGAGACCAGTAAAGAGGAATGCCTCATTTTACTATTGTGGAATTAGGCTCATGGGGGCGGCAAAAGTAGTTCGGAGGGTTTTCCCCGGCATTACTCCGCACTGTGAGGGAGGTAGGCCGTGGGTATCCCCGAAAGGGAAGTGATGTGCCTGAGGTCACACAAGGGGTAAATCATACCCAACACTATAGGTGCAAGTGGCAATTGGCCTTGGGAGGACAGGGGAGGAGGTAAGGGGCCCTCTCCAAGATGAGAGGAATCTCTCTGTTCTCCACGTCTGACACTTGACCCTAATTTGTGATGAGGGCCCAGGGAGAGGAGCATTAGGCTCTCACAGGGTTGGGGTCCTGATGGACAAAGATGGGCTTTAGGCCCAGGACCCTCTTAACTGTTGACATTTCCTGCTCTGGGCCCCTGACAGTTTTGAGTTGAATAAGCAAACAGATAACTGCAAACTTAGAAAGTCCCTCCTATATGCCAGGCACTGTCCTAAGCACTCTACTTAAAAACAACTTAAACCTTACAACCCTATAAGGTAGATACCATTATTTTAATTTTAGATGAGGAAACCAAGGCGCAGAAAGATTTAAGTAATTTGATGAACGTCATCCAGCTCGTAATTATCAAAGATGGCATTTGAACCCAGATAGCTTGACTCCAGAATCTGGGCCCTTAACCAATGCTACATATAGCCTCCAGTCCCCTTTAGAGGCCCAGAAGGGCTAAGGGAATTGCATGACATCAAACGGGGATCTTGCCAGAAATCCACTCTCTCTGCCCTGTAGGTGGGAGGTATACTAGAGAAACATGGCAGCTGGGCTCAGAGGCATCCCTGGTGCCCTTCTCCAGTACCTGCTGAGATAGAGCCTCCCCAGTCCCTCCAGGAAGAATCTAGAAGTTGCTAACCAAAACTTTTATTGAGAGTGAAAAATACCAGGAGGCTGTCTTCTGGAGGTTCTTGGGCCTCAGACCTTACGAAGTAGGGCCCCCAGGCCCCTGATCTGTTAGGAAAAGACTAGAACAAGGTCCCACGGCCAGGCCACTCTCTGCTTCTCAGATGCCATGCTGAGTTGCAAGTCCTGTGCCCGTGTTTCTAGGTTGAGGCCTGGCCTGTGGACTCACAGTCAAGGTCTGCAGGCCCCACAGCTTGGTCTTCAGAGGTGGCCCCATGGGGCAAGTCTGTATACTTGAGGGCAGAGCCGCGGGACAGATGTGCTGGGTAGCGCCGACGGTTGAGGTCCATCTTGGAGAGCACCGCTTGGGGCAGATCCACATGGCAGCGGGCTGCTAACGCTACCAGGTAGATGAGGACGTCACTAAGCTCTTCTTGAAGGGCTGCCCGTTCCCTGGGGGGCCAGGCTTGGGGGCCAGGCTCCTCATCAGGCTTCCACTGACTGGGGGCAGAACACACAGATGCTAGCTAAGACGATGGGCTCCGCCTCTCTTAGGAGAACCCCAGTCCTTGCAACAACGCACTCCCATGTCTTAGGAAGTTCCTTCAAGGACAACTCAACCCACCTGGGCCCCAGGCACAACTCAACCCTCCTGGGCCCCAGGCAGAGTCAGGGTGGGGAAGAGACCCCAGCAGATGATTCATCCAGACCTCTGTGTCCCAACCTGAGCCAAGGACTGGCCAAGAGAACATTTCACTCATTAAGACCCAATTCTACTTCTCTCCAGCCCCAGCCACTGCGACTCCAGACTAATCCCCAGACCTGGACCACTGGGAAAGCTTTTGCTAACTCACCTTCTACTCTTGCCCAGTACCATCTTTTAAACCTACAAATTACATTTTGTCCCTCCGCTGCTAAAATTTCCCCAACTGTACTTGGAATAAGATCCAAACTCCTGGATTTTGGGCACCTGGGTGGCTCAGTCGTTAAGCATCTGCCTTCGGCTCGGGTCATGATCCCAGGGTCCTTCCCTGCAGGAAGCCTGCTTCTCCCTCTCCCGCTCCCCCTCCTTGTGTTCCCTCTCTCGCTGTGTCTCTCTCTGTCAAATAAATAAATAAAATCTTTTTAAAAAATAAAATTAGTTTATTTATTGTTACTCTCCTTCTACTGTGAAGGCAAGAACCATGTCTTTTTTTCCCCCCAAAGATACTATTTTTAAGTCATCTCTACACCCAATGAGGGGCTCGAACTCACAACCCTGGGATCAAGAGTTGCTCCCACTGACTGGGCCAGCCAGGAGCCCCAGGAACCTATCTTGTTCAAGGCTTCATTCTAGAAGCCCTAGCACATAGCTGATGCTCATATATCTGTAATGAATGAATGGCTTGCCCTCACACTTATCTCTGTGCTCTCATTTCTCCATCCCCAAAGTGACTGCCTTGGTTTAGGCCTGCCTTACCACCTCTTGCCTGATCTGTATCAGCCTCCTCATAGGTCTCCCCTGCCCCAATTCTCTTGCTGACCCAATCCACCCTGCAGAAAGGGATCTTTCTACCACTCAAATCTGGTCAGGTCTTCTGTCCAAACTCCATCACTTCCTAACTCCAGCTCTGTCACTCTGGGTTCATATTGCCACCCCTCTATTCCACAGCCCCATCACTCGTTCTATAGGTATCTACTGCCTTTCGTGCACCAGGCACATGGGACACGGCAGACAACAAAACAGATACAAAATCCTTGCTCTCCCTTGAAAAGCTTACCCTGAAGGAGTCTCAGAATCTCCCTAAATTTAACTTGCCCTTTCCCACTTCACTGCCTTTGCAAATGATTCTCAAGGCTGGAATGCCACTGGGAGGTAGGTCTTCTAAAGAACACCCTCCTTTCCACCCCAGAGGCTGCCACCATCCCTTATGACCTGGGCCTGCCTTACTGTTTTCACACCTTTCTTTCCCAGAAGACTGGGATGCCCCAAGAGGGCAGGGACAGGTGAGTCCTCTCTATCCCCAGGTACAGAGCCCAGCATGGATAGTTAACGATCAGATAAATGTTCCCCTCCCACATAACACACAGACTGTTCCAAGAAGACTTCATCTACTCACAAGAGCTCCGCCAACTCCCCGACTTCCCCCACCAAGGCCAGCAGGAGGTTCCGAGGCTGGTGGAACTGGCCCCAGTCTCGTTCAGCAGCAAACTCCGCATGGAGGCGGCGGCTGAAATAGAAGAAAAGTGTGGAAGTCCTGGTTCCAGGGTTAGAGAACCCAAGAGAAGACACAGCCCAGGCAGGCATCTCAGTGATATGCAATGGGGGCATAAATATCAGGGGTTCGGCAACGAATTCCTTGGATGGCCTTAAGCAAATCATTTCTTCTCTTTGGGACTTGGACTCCTCGTCTATAAAGTGGGTGCGCCCTACACAGACCCTCAACTCTATGGAACACTAACAATACCCTCTTTTCCATTATTCCACCTCTTGCTGCTGCTTCTGCAGTTTCCTCCACCTGAGGAAGAGTCCTCTCTCTGCATATCGAAATCCTACCGATTTTACAAAAGTGCAGCTCCAGGGACACTTCCCCCTAAGAAGCCCTCCTTGATTTCCTCCAGCAAAAATAATATCACCCACCTCTCAGCACTGCATTTGCCCCGTCCTACCACCCACTCCTGGAGGGCAGGGGCCGGGCAGAAGCAGCATCAGAAGTAGCAGCCCAATTTCCCCGAGGCTGGTTCTGGTATTACTCACCGGGCATCACCATTTCCCCTGCCTTTGGTGGGCATCACTAAGCCCATTTTGCAGATAAGGAGGTTAGATGACTTGCCCGAGATCAGCCAGCCGAGCGGGGACCCCAGCATAGCTGCTAGCCTTCTTCCAGACCACGTGGAGGACCCACCCCAGTAGGAGGGAGAAAGGGGGCGACCTCCCCAGGCCGGGCGGGGACGGCTTACATGTCCTCGAGCGTGGGCTCCGGGCTGAAGCTGAAGGGGCCGGCAGCAGCAGTGCCGTCTCCCCCCGTGTCCCCACGCGCGTCCCCATTCGCCCGAGACATGCCGCCCACCACGCAGCAGTCGGGATGCCCTGAACAACTCCGCGCCAAGCTCGGAACCCGCCTCCAAGGCCCCTGACCAATCACAGGCGATCACGACTACTTCCCGGGGCGGAGCCGCAGGAAAGACCAATTACTTCCGTGGACTTTACTGCAGCCCGCCCTTTACCCCGCGGCGTCGGATTCTTCAGTCTCGGCCGGTAGCATCTTAAAGGTATAGAGACCAGATTCGACCGCGAAGAGACAATGGACAGAGGGCGAGGAGGGTGCAGGCGCGTAGCTTCTCTTGTGGGCGCCAGATGGCGCCAAAGAGAAATGACGGAGCAGGGAAGGGGGTGGGGCGCTCCGTGGAAAACCCCAGAAAGGGAGGGTTTAAGCAAGTAAGGGAAATTTATTATAATGATACAAGAATGTCTCCAGGATATAGGAACTAGGGTAACCGTTCTAAGCATTTTACATATTTAATCCTCACACCAACCCTATGAGGTAGGTAATATCGTCATCCCCATTTTACAGGTAAGGAAACAGAGATTGAGTAATTTAACTCAACGGCTGATAAGGTGGTAGCCAGGTTTCAGTTCTAGGCAATTTGGTTTCAGAGTCTGTTTTTTTAACCCCTACCCTATATTGCCTCAAATGATGATAAGTACAATGGAAAAAAAAAATTATTTAAACACTTTGAAAAGTGGGGGCAAGTTAGATTGCATGATCCAGGGAAGATGGGGTAAGCATTGTTGGTTAGCAGCTCAACTGCCTTTTCCCCTCCTGCATTCTTGCATAACCGTGATTTTATTCTGGTGTTCACCCTCCTGTACTTGATTGATCATGCGGCCCCATTGCCCTGGCCTGATCAGTTTATGGGTGAGTATATGGCCTAGTTCTTGACAATGAGAAGTTAGGAAGTCTGTTGGAGACTTCTGGGAAAGATTCTCAGTTCTTTTGTTAAAAGATCACAGGATGTTTCTACCTTTAGATGTTAGTATGTGAAGAAATCTTTGTGTGGAGGGCTAGCCCACAAACTGATGGGCAGATAGGAAGATAGGAAGGACCTGGATCTTTGGTAACATTGTTGGGACACTTATTTCCCAGAAAGGTCCTAATTTAAGACTCTGGTTATATAAGAAAATAAATCCCTTTATTGGTTAAACCCCTTTAGTTGGGTTTTCTGTTACTTGTCTTTGAGAAAGTGACATTTAATCTGAGCAAAAATCAAGGGGAATAGAGCTCTAGGTAGAGGGATCACCAGTGCTTAAAGCAGGAAAGTCTTGGCATGTTCTAAAGACAAAAAGAATTCCAGTGTGGCAGGAATATGGTGAGCAAGGGGGAGAGTGGTTGGATGTGGTATTAGGGAAGTGACAAGAGGCAAGATCAGATTGATCAACCATGGATTTTATTTTATATTTTATTTTATTTTGGATTTTAAGTATTATGGAAACCCTTTGGAGGGCTTTGGCAGGGAAGTTATATGATCATATTTTGTATTTATGAGCCCTCTGGCTGCCGTATTAAGAATGAGGGCAAGGGTAGAAGCAGGGAAATGAGTTACTGCAGTTGCCCAAGGAAAAGATGATGTTGACTCTGGGCCAGATTGATGGTGAGTGAAGATGGAGAGAAGTGGATGTATTGGGGAGATATTTTTGGAGTTAGATCTATAGGCTTTGTTGATTTTGAATTAGAGGCATGGGAGAAAGGATAGAGTGAAGTATGGCTTACAGATTTTGAATGTTGAGCAACATGGTGGATGGTGGTGACTCATACGGGGATGAGGAAAGCGAGGTGCAGGATTGAACACACATGGCATCAGGAGTTTGGTTTAGAACAAAGCTAATTGAAGCTACATATCAATTCGGTGGATTTATGAGACTAAGGTTTAGAAGAGAGATCAGGGCTACAGATTCATATTTGGTAGTCTCAGTCATTAGACAGTACTTAAAGTCATAGACTTGGAGAAGAATGACTACTACAGGAATCTAGATAGACAAGACTAAGATTTGGGGTACTCCAACATTTAGCAGTTGAGCAAAAGAGAAGAGACAGGTGAGATAACAGGAAAATCGAGAGTGTGGTGTTATAGAGGCTGAGGAGGAAAGTGTTCCAAAATGAGTGGACATCTGATTTGGATGCTGCTGAGCTGCAGGGTAAGAAGAGAGCACAGAAGTTGCTGCTGGATTAGGCAACATGGAAGTTGGATATGGGATTTGGGAGAAAAGAGGGAGTCCTGGGTAACTCCTGGGTTTCTGGCTTGGGTGAATGGATGGATAATTTTGTCATTTGCTGAAAAGAGGGCACAGAAGTTGGGGTGGAAGGGAAGATAATGAATTCAGTTCGGGGCCTGTTGAGTCTAAGATGGCTCTAGAACATCTAGATGATGTCCAGTAGGCAGGTGGACATACAGGTCTGAAGTTCAGAACATTGAGCTGCCTATGGATCTGGGAACTGAAAGTACCTTCCATAGCACCTACCCCGATGTTTGCTAAGCTTCTCCAGACAAGAATCCAAAGTCTTTTACTGGGATGTAAAACACAGCTTTCTCAGGAGTCCTCTGCATCTCAGATTTTTGAAGAGTCAGGGACCAGGACTTCTAGAGCTCACAGGTCAGATGGTCCTTGGTGATTGACAGGAAGGAGGAGACACTCTTTGTGGGACTGCCTCTGCCCTCCTCCTAGGAGCTCCTGACTGAGCTTGTAAGGCTTTTGCCAGGCATCCTGCAGAACATCCCAGTTCTTTGCTCCATTGCATTGTCCTTGGAAGACCAAGCAAACCCAGCTCCAGCACAGCACAGGGTTGGAGGGGTGGGGAAGGCCCTCATGCGGGAGAGGGAACAGACCTGAACATATAATTGGCCCCATGATCTGGACCCTTCATCCAGACTCTTTCTGTACCCTCTGCCCCACATCCATTCACTTTTCTCCATTCTCCTCAGACACATCTTAGCAACCCGACCTCCCTGCTTTAGTCAGGGCCTCAAAGTGCTTGGTCTTGGCTTTTGGTTCACATTTGTGATTAGCCTTTACGAGCCTATCCCTTTAGGGACTGGGTGCCTTAGTCTTTTCGACCAAAGGTGTTTTCCCAGTGTAGGCTAATAAATATTTAATGACAGGATGGGCAGGCTGGGACAAGTAAACATGAGCATGCACACACTGTCCTTCTGTTATGCAAGAGTTTGGCTGGCATCACCACTGGACCCAGCCATGTGCAACTGATCCCAGTATGGCTTTTGGAAAACACTGGAGTGGAAGAGGTGGCAACGATTGGAGAACAAAGTAACAGAGACCCATAAACTGGGTGGGTGGTGTTGGGGTAGGGAACCTGGGCTGCTAAGATCCTAGAGATAATAGAGGATGATGGCAAACTAAGAATCAGATGACTGGGAACCCAAACACCAATGCCCTTGGGGAGATTGTTTCTTTTCTCTGAGCCATGATTTCCCTATCTATGTAATGGGGCTCTGGCCTAGGCAGTCTCCAAACACCCTTCATGTGTGTGCTGGGAAGGCCGGGACAATGTGTATTTTGTTTATATCACAGTGCTGTTCTTACTGGAGGTAGAGCCATTGACCTTGTTGGTTTTGAACTGAGGGATGGCAGAAATGATGCTACCATAATTAAAAGTATTTGTTCTTTTAAGTTTTTCAGGGGGAGTCATGACAAAGGTTTTGAGAAATCTCCAGGCTAGCCCATTCAGGCTGGGGAGTCCCCAGCACCTTTAGAAGCCCTTCCTAGGGCGCCTGGCTGGCTTAGTCAGTAGAGCATGTGACATGTGACTCCTGATCTCAGGGTCATGAGTTCAAGCCCCACATTGGGTGTAGAGCTTACTTAACAAAGAGAGAGAGAGAAGTCCTTCCCCAGTCTATGTATCCAGACTTATTCCCCTACACCCATGCTTAAATCCAGCCAGATGATCCCCACTCTCCCTAATTTTGCTCATATCTGGAATGCCCATTCCCCCTTCTCTGCATATCCAAACCTAAATTCTACTCATTCTGCAAAGCCCTGCTTCAAAGCCACCTCCTCTGGGAAGCCTTCCTAAACTTCCTCCAAAATGGAAATAATTTGACCTCCTATAGCACTTAATCCACTCTAATCCATATGTCACTTACCATTCTTCGTCTTGATTTTGGGGTGATGGGTGTCCCTGTTCTAGATCTCCTTTTAGACTGAGTCTCCTGGAGAACAGAAGCAGTGTCAGGCTTTTGTTTCCCCAGGGCCTGGTACTTGATTAGATCTAATAAATACTAATTTATAGGACCATGTCTCATGGGATCCTCTCCATGACTTCCCTGCTGTGGGTGGGTATGGCTGTGTCTATTTTACAGATGAAGAAACTGAGGCCCAGAGACTTATCTGAGATCACCCAGAAAGGTGAATGTTGAAGCTCACCAGTACCCCTCAATGCTCCTCATCAAGTGAAAGAAATCTCCCTACCCCCACAAGGGTGTAAAAGAGGCAACTCAATATTTTTGGTATGAGCTGAGGTCACCGTGCTACTGCGTTTTCTTCTGTCCTTCCATCCTGTCTCTTCATCTTCTTTCTCTTCCTCTATCTTCAACTTCCTCTCCTTTTTCTTTTCTGCATTTGGCTTCCTTTCCCTTTTCTTTCTCTTTTCTTCCATCACCTTCCTTTCCTCTATTTGTGATTCTGCTCTGATTTCTACCCAAGGCCGTGTCCCCTCCACCACCTGCTGCCTCTTTTGCTGCCCAGCTCCTCCCCAAGGAAAAGATGGATGCCTATCTTGCTCTCAACCCCTAACCCTTTCTAGGTTAACTAAGAGGATGCAGGCCAGGGACGCATCCCATCGTTTTCCTCCCCTTTTGTACTGCCCACTCCAACCAGTTAGAGAGCTGTGTATGTGGACAAACAAAACCAAGGCCTGAATTTCTTCTTCAAAGCCTTGTCTTAAGAGATTGGTGATACCAGCCTCCACCACTAGGAGACACCAAGAGCAAGGAAAGTGTGGACATAGAAGCTGCTAGGGTCCCCAGCGTTTATCCTTCTCACTCACTCATTTATTCAATATATTCTGAGCACTAACTACGGATCAGTGTTCTAGGTACTGGGGATAC